TTATTAAAACAGATTGGTTTGAAATTACCACATTATATCCAGCGTTAGTTCAGCCGCTAACATAATTAACATATCCACTGTTTCATCTTAACTGGTTTCCACTTTTGAATTTTCTATTAGTGTTTACAAAGGCAGAGTCAATACGATGTGGTAGCCAGAAATTTTAATATCACATGCCACGTGGATACGCTCTTATTCCAATTGAATAGAGTTATTAATTGAATACCAACATGTCGATTGTGAAACATAAATCCACAAGCTTGTCTATTGTTGAGATTTGTTTACAAAATGTCTGCAGTATTGACTTTGGCGTGAGAATTGGTTTCTAACGTTCGTAACCCTGGTAGGTCCGATCGATCAAACAACTGACATACTACTGTTAAACACTTCTGGCGTCCGGATAACTATGTAAATGAATTGGTAAGCGCACTTTTATTAGGTGATACGACATATACCACTTAGAGTGCACTATTAGTGATAATTTGACAGTGCCGTATGTGTAACAATGTTGCCCATTACGGTAATTGGGTGCTGAAGCAAACACGCCCAATAACTCAATTTACATCATAGAATTATAACACATCATAATTAACGATATACTAGACACACCTATAGATTTAAAGGACAATTTTCCAAGCATTCTTCTTGATCTAGGAATCTCGAATCAGAAGAAAAAAATAGAGAAAAATATTAATAAGAAAATTTGATATGCAGGCAGGTTATTAGTTACAGAAAATATCAACGTTCCTAACTTAATCTTTACGTATTTTCGAATAGTTAGTGGCCTTCAAGAAATCATACACCTTACAGGCCACTAGCGTATCTGCGCGTTGGTCCCTTAGCATCGGGTCAAATAACATTAGTCGATCTGCTGCTCCGTTTTCATATAAAAATCCTGTATTCTGTAAAAAAACGTCACATAAAAACACCCATAGATTTAATACTGTAAGGTAATTTGTACTAGTACTGAAATTTTGAATTACAGACACGAGTGTGTAATCTAGTAAGCATAATGTCTTTACTATTATATGTAATGTGGTCTATTACTCACGTCTAGAGTGTTCAGTCTAAGAGCGGAAGCAAGGGTTAATAGGTACGGCATCGAGTTTTAATTATACCCCAAGTGGAGTTAATTATACGAAGTTACTATCCAAATTTTAATGTGTGTTTTAGTTGAAGTGACGTATGTCATGCCAACTTCCTTTATAGGTAATTAGATATTTGATAATTTTTGGATTTAATTAGTTTGGGTTTAATCACATCAAAACTTTATTAATTGTATCTCTGTATTATGGAAAAGTATTGTATTATATCTGGTTATAATTTACTTAGAATTACGTAACACTGTCATGTCCCATGTTATAAAAAGTAGCGTTTTTTTTTCTTCTAATTTGTCACTTATTTGATATACATTCAAGTATCCTATAAATTAATGCAAGCCGTGTCAGAAGCCCGATGTTGCAATCGAATGACTCGAGCAAACTGAGGTGGAACTTTTCAATACGCTTCGTGACCATGACGACTACGATTGAAAAGTGTTATGCAAAAGGGGATCATGTAAAGCTATGATAAATGTATATTACAAGCATACGTATTTCTTTTGTGTAGTTATCTGAAGGAAACCTTCAAAAATTACTCTATCTATTTCTATTACTTCTTTAAATAATTCCATACTTTGATTTTACTATAAGAGTCCTTTTTCTGAAGCACTTTAATTCTATCGAATGGATCTCTTTAGAATAGTTGTAGTCTTTTATCTTTAGGTGATACGTATTTTGCGTATAACTTTGTCCCGAAAAAAAATGACGCTTTCTTATATTTTTTAGAAGAATTACTTACTGTTAGATATTGCTTGAAAAAAGAAATAGTTAAGTTATTGCGTCCATGTTGCATAACCTCTCCATATCGAAGCTTCTGTAATACGAAACTCGTAAATCGATTCGTTTCAAACCTGCGCCTTCTGAGGAGTTCGGTCACAAAAACCCTCTTTTATTACAATTTCTCAAAATGAAATAGCAAAGTAAAACATTTTTGAAAAAATAATAAGGGATAACTATTTTAACTTTTTACAAAAAATGATTTCTGAATATTTCAATATGCAAAAATTCTTAAATTCCGATACACTTTTGTTAATCAAGAACATCTTTAGTGATTACTATAAAAACCCTAGACAAATCGACGAGGTCAGAATAAAATCTTCGTTTGGATGCGAGTTGGTTCCGTGTCATTACAACGGTCGGAGCAACGAGATTAACGAGATGAGCGTTACGAAATGGCCCAGGAATTTATATTAATTGTTGCTGCAATCGCACGCTTCTACTTAACTCATGTTACACTTGATTAGACCTATCAGGGAATAAATTCTGCGTAACTGATTTACTTATTGCTTTTAATTGTCGTCAACGGTCTTATTTGCAATGTCATGTCTACATGCAAACGTTTAAAACGATACATTGGAATGTCACTAACAAGAGATTAACGAGTCAAGGTACGTAACTATGTATTCGTCATATACTTATGTATGTAAAGTATATGTTCCTAGAGTCTTATATCCTTACAAATAAACGCGATATAAAGTTAAACGTAGGAACAAAATGAGTAAAAGAAAAAATGTACTAATATTTACTTACTAGCTGTTCCCATGCGGCTTCATCCACATGTCTTTATAAAAACTTTATTTTACTGTTTACATTTGTCAAATTCACAATTGCAAATGTCAAAATACCATAATAACCTTGCTTCCTTGATACTGGCAGCAACTAATGTTCTCTTTCCGAGATTAGGGTTTTTATCTAAAATATTTACCCCCTAAGTTTAATGGCGTTAAAATATATAGCCTAAAGCGTGTTGTAAGTGTAGGGCTTTTTATAAAAAAAATGATTATTCAAAAATATGCTGTAATTGCTGATATCGTAGGCAACAAAGAAATGTGTGTTTACGCTTTGTTATAATAGTATATATTCTTATTTTATTCCTAAGTTTAACTTTTTTTACTGCGTTATTTGTCAGTCTGTTAGAGATCGAAGTGTTTAAACCATTTGATATGCTATTTAAGTAATATTCTTTTGTTTGTTGTAATAGAACTAGAGTTATCCAGCTATATTGATGTTTTAAATTAACAACTACGAGTAAAAGACTTTGGGGAATAAAAGACTTATTATAATGTTATGACTTTATTGAAAATTATACAAAATATTCAATGAATACAGCACTTCGATAGGAAAAAATGTATATAAATTAATTAGTAACAATGCTGAAGGGTAATTAAATTATATCTAGGTATGTGAGTGCGTTATTTACAGGGAGATATACGCGTATGTGCGTCGGCGGCAGAATCAAACAAATAAACGGTTTAATAAATGTTTTTGGTAACCATAAACTCGAAATAATGACTTAATAAAATTTAAAATTTAAAAACTTAGTATTAAGTTATAAATTAATACTTTAATATCATAGGTTTTCTCTATGTGAAATATATAACTTTTAATTACATTACATTGATTATGTATGTTGAGCATTGTTTGTTCAACTGTTCATTTAAATTAAGCGTCAATAGCGTAATGGTTTAGGGTACAGACTACCGATCTTGCGGTCGAGGGTTTGTTTCACGCCATTCGACTATTGTCTTCGACCGTATCAAAGCACAAGCCTAGAGCTTATTTGGATTGGATAAAGAATATTGTTAAATTAACAAAAAAACTATTATTATTTAAAAAATATGTTTTTTTTTTAATTAATTCGATTATGCCGACCGACAAACTAAGTAATAAGATTATAAGAATGCGAGTATGTTAGTGGTAGTTATTAAGTAAACAATGTCTTATCAAGGTATAGATTAATAAATAAGATATAACAAGGGAAATGCTGTGAATTACATTTCGAAAAAAGTTAAACTTTAGCATGTTGATATTTTATTAGCTTATTTATTTTTACAGTCTCCAACGATTTGTTTAAACGTCCTTTAAATGACAATTTTTATCGTATGAAAAACAATGTTCCCAAAAGCAACAATACTTAACCTATTTTATTATTTACATGATAAATTTAATATTTTTACAGTAAAATTGGAATCGTGTGTCTTGAAACCTGGTATGAAGGATTATAAAAATAATTCTTATTAATTACCTTAATTATACAATCTATACGTATAGGTAAGAGAATGATTTCCAAGAAATTCTTAGTACGGACGTTGATGTTAAACTAAAAATCACAGCGAATCGATTACCTAACTAGCTATACAATTAAATCTATCCATTGACTTTAGTAATAACAAAGAGTGGTGTCATGTCTTACAATATTACAATTATATATTCTTAAGAAAATTCGATTAGACAATAGGATAAGATAAGTAACTGTTAGAACATTAAAATGATATTAGATTAAGAACTTTTAAATCGACCATTAAATACTAAATTTACATACATTTATAACACCGGAGTTTTTTGGAATCAGAAACATAACAGTCTAACTACATTGCTTAAATAATTTTCGTTATAATACTGTGTTAATAAATGTAAACAGTTGACTAGAGTACAGAATAAAAGGTGAGTTGACATAGACAAGGGTATTATTAATGTTTTATCCGAGTAATTGTTAAAAACTACTGACATTTATATAAATTTTATTCATTAACTTTTTCTATCGATATCCGATAGTAGGATGAACATTTCTGTAGTTCAATTTCGTTTGATAAAACGTTATACGTACAAACTTCTCCCATAAATGACGCAATATTCCTTGTACGTCATAAATATTAATTTTTGGGTAACTACACGAAAGTTTCTCGCTCTCTTCGGGACCGAAGTATGCAGGAATATCAAGGAATTTATGAGAAAATTTTCTTTACTCCCTAAAGATTCTTAGACAGGATGAGGTTTAATTTTTAATGTAATTTATTGAAATACAAATATTAGGGGATTTAGGCTTTAAATTACAGGAAAATGATAACTATAACCTAAATATAAAATTTAGATTTATCATCAACTTGAGATACAAGATAACGTATAACACTTAATCTATACAATGAGATACAAAACAATATTTACAATCATTAGCAAAAACGATTTTATAAATTATATTTACGTAGTAAAGTCGATGTACCTTTCACTTAAAGTAACGCATCACTTGATAGCACTATGTGTCCGTTCAGAGTAACGCTTCTTCGAGTTGATCGAACGTGTCACACCATCAGTCACTTTCGTACACTGTAGAGTTGGAACTCTGGCGGCGGCTGTACGGCGAAGAGAACTCTATCCTGGTATCAGGGAGCCAGGAGTACGCAGTGCGCTCCGAAGATGCACTGGAATACGAAAAAAAATACGTTAGACACATTGACAAATTCTGCGATAAATTATAGTACAGAGAAGGAATTTCATATTTGATTCCTTTGTTTTTCTTATCATACTGTGTTCTCTAGCAATTCTTAGAAGTAAGTCATAAGGAGTAACAACTATTAACCGATTGAAATTTAAAACTAAACAATGTACTTCTCTACTAGTGTAAGAAGTAAAGCTTTTTACTGAATGAATTTTAGATTTTTAGATATGTATTCTTGTAGCCATTATTGTCTATAAAATCAATTACCTTATACAATACCTAATCGATTAACGAGTTATTTTATTGCCCTATATTGCAGTTATCCCATATTGAATTAATTACAGTTCAATGGAAACTGTTAATTATTCTAATCATGATTCAAATTGATGATATAGATAGCCATAATATGTGATTATCGAAATTAAACTGATAATTAATAGCAGTTATTTCTGGTATCGAATTTAACATTGTGTCAGGTTTCAGACGGCGTTGGACAGTAAAATCGTTTTAATTATAAATTAATGTCAGTCTATTTGCAAAAGAACGTTTCGATCGAACCTTTTCTGTGTCATTCAGAATCTGATGCGAGAGGAAGTAATTAATGCATCCAGTAATTACATTCGTTTGGTACTTTAATTTAAAACTACTATTTAAATTAAATATATTTGTAAAGTTACTTTTTTACAACAAATAAACGTACAGAATAAAATACGAAATTACTATTTATTGATACTATTTTTTGTCTTATGAAAGTGTCTTTACATCACTCTTTTGAAAACAGAGATATTTATGTTTAGATATTTCGACTGACGACAAAATTTGAAGTTAAAATTAAGATTCGATTGAGTTGCGAATTTCAAGTTTCCGTTGAATAGTTACACAGCTTCAACCGAATGAGGCAACTTAGCGTCGCCTTGTTTCACGTCCAATTAAAGTTTACAGCATTCAAAGTTTAACTTTCGACATTGCTTTTGTAACGTTCATGCTTTTAATGGAAATCGAGAGCAACATTTACATATACACACGTTCTCTAACGTTCGCTACGTGGAATTAACAAAGGCCTTACGCCTAGACAAAGGTAGGTCTTTATAATAATGTTATAGTTTGTTATACTTCCCAAATATAAACCTTAGCTTAGAAGACAATGTGGCTTCCAGTCTGCCCTATTTAAATCTTGTTATTTATCAAATGATAACAATAGCATTTAAACGGTAGTTTAGAATAGAAGTTAGTTTAGCCTTTCTGTTTTCAATTACACATACCACAAATGTGGTAACTTGTATTTTTCTGTTAATGGTTGAATAATTTTGAATATTAAATAAACCTTTAAGTACATTATACTAATGTTTTTATCAGAACAACAGAAGCTAAGACATTCGCGCCCCCGAGTGCCACCTACGTGCATTTGTGTAAACACAGTCGCTGTGTAACTTTGCCTTGTCTATAGTTTGTTATTTTAGTGGGAGCTTCTTCAGAATACAGGTCAACGCTATTGACACGCCTTCTTAATGTGGAGAGGTAATGTCGAGGTATTGTTATGAGACTTCTTTTATTTTTTTATAGCCACTGTTGGAATTTATGGTGTAATTGCTTTCACAAATAATGCTTTTACGTAATAAGATAATATTGTTTGAAGTAAAGATGAAAGAAAGATTTGTTTGTATAATTGATTATTTTACGAAACGATAAGTTATGATGTTAGATAACATCGTCCGTAATTTAAGTAAAGAATAAATTATTTTCAAAGATTTAGTTTTGAGATTTTGGCGAAGAAAAGGAGTCTCATCTCTCTCAGGAGTCCATATGAATGAAAATACGAAAACAAAATTTCATAGTGTCTAAAAATGTTGATCCAGAAACATTTAGTTTGAGACTAAATAACAACAATGCTGTCTATTGATCGTCAGTATAGCATAACGTACTCGCATTGACCTCTCCCGTGGACCGCACGGGAGGTCGCTTGTGACACTATTAAAAGGAAATGAAGACGGCGTCAGAGGCGGCGCGAGCGAAATCCAATTTGAAATAAGTGCCTTCTGAATTAATCCGACCACTTTGAGCGGACCGGATGAAATTTCTGGTATTTTTCACGTCCAGCAATAAAAACGAGCCCTCGACGCGGAAAAGATGAGTAATAGCTCGCCCCGAGTTCTCACGGGCTGTAAGGAATAATAATGTTATGCTCACACGATGGAAACCTTTCTAATGTTGACGCGGGAAGCGGCAGTGAGCACGAGTTGAATAAAAAGAATTAACCGCGAACAAGCGGAATGTGTCTGCGGATGATTTAAGAACTTTTAAGTAAAACGTTTTTCGTTTGAGGGTTGAAATCATTCTAATGTTTTAAAAGTTTTTATGGATGCTTGTAACTACATGTTTCCAAAACAAACGAATCTCAATTAAAATTTGGCCCCGATGTAGAGCACAGTCTTGTAGAACACATAAGTCACTAGGTTTGTTTTTTATTCCCCGCGGTTGAAGTCACGGAAAATTGCTATAGACAAATCCACAAACTATTATTACTATTTAAGAAAGTAAAACCTATTTTACATTTAACATTAGTTACGGCAACAAGCGCGTTCCTTGCGCCATCTGGTTTAGTCGAAGTTCAAACTAGATCAGTTAGCACCCGGTCTTAACGCCTGCGTGAACATTTATGACTTTGAATTATTAAGTTACAGTTCGCTTGTGAAGTTGAATGGGATCATATTTTGTTCTTACGTTACATAACTTGTTTGCGCGTCGACTGAAGTATATAACCGCAGGCTATCTTTAAATAAATTATTTTAAACTGCAACAAACATTAATACATGAGGATATAATCTTCACATACAAAGTGAAGATAAGTTTTAATTATTGCAAAATTCATTGATTGCTTTAGTTATAACCGAAGTTTTTAGTGTTATTAATTAAAAACATATAATATTTCGTACATCGTAAGTTTAACGTGTAAGTATTCATAATTTCATTATATATTTTGCTAAAAATATTTCGTAAAAAGTAAATCGTTTTCTTTTTAATAATGTGCGGACAAAAACATTAATATTACTGAATTCGAGTATAAATAAAGATTACGTCATTGATATTATAAATGAAAACGTGAGATAGAATTTATGAATGGGAACAGTCAATAAACACTGGTTAATCGGGCCCGAATAAATTATGCACAGTCGGATTACAGTCGGTTTTGTGACATCTCTAATGTGTTATTAAATTTTAATAAACAGAGATTCAACCGAAGTAGGGCAAACTTCCTGTGTAATAAATAATAAAATAGATTATTTATGTATACATTTCTGTATATTTGCCTTTGTGAATGCGTTAGTGGCAATATAAACGTTGTTTACATAATGTTGCTATTTACGATTGTATATTAATAAGCAAGATATAGCCACCTTTGATAACGTCAGATTCATAAGTGCGAAATATTAATTCTATGAAATAGGCTTTACTTTAACAGTGTTAGAGCCCGCTTTAACATTTTCGCACGAAAGAGCCGGCTCACCCGGTGTAATACCAAGACCACATAAATGACAGGCGTGTAGTGGGAGCAATTCCGCGTTTCGACTGATGAGTGTGGTGCCGAAGGCCCGGTTTTAGTCCCTTTTTCTAAGAGGAAAGGATGAAATGGAAAACTGGATTTGTTGGTGGAGAAGACGCATAGGAAGGGAAAATGCTCTTTATGTGCGTCTCCTCAGTCGATTTAGGGTAGGCAACGCATCTGCAATTGCGGATGTCTATGGGCAGCGGTCGCTTCGCCATTTCGGTGGATTTAGGTGGCCGCTTGCTCGTTTGCCACCTTATATTATAAAAATAAGAACTTTATTGTTGTTCGTGTTTTCTTTTGTTTTACAATCTTTTTTTATTTAAATTATATTTTCCATTGAATTGTGAGCACTAGGTTACTTCTTTAAACGTGTGATTTTGTCGAAGCAATATAATGATATTATTCAATAAAGATTTCTACGTATAAAATTTACGTAATTATTTTTGTATTACATACGCACGTGTAAAGTTTCACATGTTTTAGTAATTGAGAAATCTCTTGTTACGGTTTTGCGAATCGAAGTTCCAACCCTTAAAGTCTTAACTTACTTTATCGCCCTCATTAAATTTGCATGATACCCTTGTCCCGTTAAATAGATTACGCAGAGGACAAAATGTATTTATTCATGATTCAGAACAAAATACACATTGTTTATTGCTTGAAAAGGGTACGGTAATAATTTTTATATATGAGCATAACATTGTATTTCTTCCAACACCAGTATCGATTTAAAACGTGTAAGTATTAAGTTTTAAAAATTAATAATTTTATTTCTAACTAAAAAGGCGATTTTTATCAAATTAGAACAAGACGTGTTTACCTTCTTTTGAATTATTGTTTTTAGAATTCCGTAAATAATAGTCAATGAGTAATTATTAATTTATTCTAAAAAAATAAATACAAAAGACCCAAAACTCTTTTAAAAAACTAAACCATGACATGGAATTGAATTTTTATATGCTCCTATTCTTGTATTGCATAAAACTATATAAAATCGTAAGCAGTCTACAATAGGTAGTAAGCTATAAAACAAAAGCAACCGGTCTGCGCCACTCTTCGGTGGCATAAGATGAGGCATCGAGAATTGCCTGAACAAACACTTGCAGCGGTCAAAATGGAAGCTCTGTTGTGTCAAAATGTATTCATTTGTACGTCAAACGTAATATTGACCTTAGAGAACTTGTTCCCTCGATGTAAATATTGAGACAGCGCGAGTTAGTGAGATGTAGTCATCTATTCTATGATTGCATTCCTCTAATCTTAATTTTTAAATTCCCATTAAAATATAATAAAAATGACAATAATTTAAAAGTAGTATCTACTGTAAACAACAAACAAATGCATTTTATGCCTAACTTTAGGGAGTAAATTTTTCGCATGAAATTTAAAAAAAAGCTTAAACATTCACTAGCTTTAAATTTTTATAAGCAAATTAT